GTCGTTTATGAAGACTGAATCGTCGGGCCTTCTTGATTTGCCGATGGTGGTGGTGGAGGCGACGGTAGTCACGGCGTCGACAACGAAAATGAGAACGATTATTTTGGTTGCGGTTGAAAAAATCATCCTAAATGACGTTCAGTCATTTTTTAAGACAAGCTATGCATCAGCCGTAATTTTCAGAAAATTTCTGATACTCTTTTCAAATTGAAGTCTAAAAGGTCTTGATAGAATGCTGCGTTTTGGAACCTTGACTAAAAGGACGGGGTGGAGATCTCGCTAGTATAGCGGACGAGGGGAGTAACCATCCGGTTTACCTTGAAAAAAGCCTACTTTTTCAATTAGTTGATATTACCTTAAATAAAGCGTATACCTATCTTATAAGCCCCTCGAAGCAAGATCTTAAGCTGATAACCCAGTTTTTGGTCTGTTATTGTTGCCTAGTACGCAGGAAATAAAGGCGAGCAGAGCCAAATGGAAATGTCTTTGGATTTTGATCAATTTTGGAGGTCCTACTCGTGCCGCTCGATGAATGACACCTGAGTTGTGTCTTGTGCTGATTTTGCTGGCCCTTATCTTCTTTTCCTAGAGATCAGTGATTTGATTTTATGCTAGTACAGACCTCCAATGATCGCTCATTTCGAACCAGCCAACAACACTAACTTCATGCTTCCTAATTTCTTTTTGAATAAACTACATTACCATTTCTGAACGCTTACCCGTGGCTTCATTATAGTATACACTGATTCTCTCAAGCTGAAGGTCGCTGTCACCCTTGTAAAGGCCTTCGGGGCTGATGCCGTGTTCGTCAGAAACGACCTCCCAAAACTAGAAGATAAATCCATAAATTCCACAAAGTCTCCGCTCACTTTTGCACCCATCTGATTGCCACATTGGCCAACTTGAATGTGGACGATTTCTCGCATGGTTTTTAGGTCTAATTATTGTTTTACGACCTCCTCCTTCCGAGGTGAAAAACGCCACCGTCCAACAAGATCGAAATGCACGAATTATCGATCGGACGTCACGTGGTCTACCTAATGCCATTCGAACAACCATGTGACTAACTCGGCGATGACGATTGGTCCATTTAGAGGCGGTAATTCGGTCTTCGTCTTGGTTTTAATACAAGCTACATAATATTTGTAAGTAGAATTTTTTGTGTTCGTTTGCAGAGAGAGCCGGCTGGCCAGTTGCAATCGCGCATTGACGAACAACCTCGCCTGGGGAGCGTTCCGCTGTCAACTGGGCTGGCGCTCTCAATCCCCGGGATTCGCTGGCTCTTTCCTCATCCGCATTTTCGATTCTATTCGCTACTTAATAATCTACTTAGAAGGCAGTTTCTTTTTTGACATTTAGGAAGATTTTTAAATGCTTACATTTGAGGGGGAAAAGTCGTTAGTTCTATGTCGGACGATTTCTACTTGCCCCGGGCCAGGCTTCAGCACTGTATATTGTCGTAACAGAAGAATCATATTACCATAAACACATCTTAGTTGTGACCGTTTGGTGACGAAGTCACTAACCATCCATCAATAGATTATATCGATTTCCAAGTTTTAACATAATGTTGAGATGCCTTACAAGCTGGACTGTCTGAAAATGGCCTGCATTGGTATTTTCGAGTCAAATCTTTCCCCTGTTGTAGTATTCAAACTTGTCTCTTATTTATATTCTGTCATCACTTTTCTGCTAACATATTATCCGCCTGGCCCAGGTGGACTGAGGAGGGTTGCGTCGGATCGTTTAGAGTGCTAGTCCCCCCCTCACGGGAAAAACCAGTTGACGAGCAACAGACGACTCTCACTTTCCCCTTCCCCCGCCTCATAAAGGTATCGATTATATTGTAGGGATCTGAGTAGTGCATGTACTCAAATCATTACAATCATCAGGCAAAATCTCAATTTGGAAGTTAAAAGACAGAAGTCAGCAGAAGAAGTGGTTTATTGTGTACAGAACTCCCTATTGCTATCCCAGGCGACAGGGGCCACTGGCGAAGCCAGGGCTAGTGTCGACTGCGTCTAGCCAGACCTGAGAGAGAATGACACAGTGGTGGCAGCTGCTTAAGTAAGATTGCGGAGCAGGTTAAAGTGTTCTCTTACTGGTGTGTTACACTCACCCGAGGGGGTGTCGCCTGTAAAGGCCCTTCTACGTGGCTGCAACTTGGCGTGTTCGGGTGGATCTTGAGGAACCGCGACTAGCTGGGAACGCGTATACGTGCGCGTGTGGGCACGTATGTGTGCGAATGAATAGCGGTGAAGTGGCCTTCAGGTCAGCAAGTGGGAACAGCCGCGTGTAAAGACAAATGACGTTGGGGGCCA